CATTCTGTTTTGTGATTGTTTTTATGCAATCTTCTCGTTTATACAATCATTCTGTTTGTTATTCTTTGTGCAATCTTTCGTTTATACAATCATTCTGTTTGTTATTCTTTGAGCAATCTTCTCGTTTATACAATCATTATGTTTGTTTCTTTGTGCAATCTTCTCGTTTATACAATCATTCTGCTTGAGCAATCTTCTCGTTTATACATCATTATGTTCTTTGTGCATCTTTCTCGTTATACAATCATTCTGTTGTTTCTTGTGCAATCTTCTCGTTTATACAATCATTCTGTTTGTTATTCTTTGCAATCTTCTCGTTTATACAATCATATGTTTGTTTCTTTGTGCAATCTTCTCGTTATACAATCATTCTGTTTGTTATTCTTTGTGCAATCTTCTTGTTATACAATCATTCTGTTTGTTATTCTTTGTGCAATCTTCTCGTTTATACAATATTCTGTTTGTTATTCTTTGTGCAATCTTCTTGTTATACAATCATTCTGTTTGTTATTCTTTGTTATTCATTCTGTTTGCAGTCTTCTCGTTATACAATCATTCTGTTTGTTATTCTTTGTGCAATGTTTGTTTTCTCATCTTCTCGTTTATACAATCATTCTGTTTGTTATTCTTTGTGCAATCTTCTCGTTTATACAATCACTGTTTGTGATTGTTTTTATGCAATCTTCTCGTTTATACATTCATTCTGTTTGTTATTCTTTGTGCAATCTTCTCGTTTACACAATCATTCTGTTTGTTATTCTTTGTGCAGTCTTCTCGTATATACAATCATTCTGTTTGTTATTCTTTGTGCATCTTCTCGTATATACAATCATTCGTTTGTTATTCTTTGTGCAATCTTCTCGTTTATACAATCATCAATCTTCTCGTTATACATTCTGTTTGTTATTCTTTGTGCAATCTTCTCGTTTATACAATCATTTCTGTTTTGTGTTGTTTTATGCAATCTTCTCGTTTATACAATCATTCTGTTTGTTATTCTTTGTGCAGTCTTCTCGTATATACAATCATTCTGTTTGTTATTCTTTGTGCAATCTTCTCGTTTATACAATCATTCTGTTTGTTATTCTTTGTGCAATCTTCTCGGTTATACAATCATTCTGTTTGTTATTCTTTGTGCAGTCTTCTCGTATATACAATCATTCTGTTTGTTATTCTTTGTGCAGTCTTCTCGTTTATACAATCATTCTGTTTGTTTCTTTGTGCTATCTTCTCGTTTATACAATCATTCTGTTTGTTATTCTTTGTGCAATCTTCTCGTTTATACAATCATTCTGTTTTGTGATTGTTTTTATGCAATCTTCTCGTTTATACATTCATTCTGTTTGTTATTCTTTGTGCAATCTTCTCGTTTACACAATCATTCTGTTTGTTATTCTTTGTGCAATCTTCTCGTTTATACAATCATTCTGTTTGTTATTCTTTGTGCAGTCTTCTCGTATATACAATCATTCTGTTTGTTATTCTTTGTGCAATCTTCTCGTTTATACAATCATTGTTTGTTATTCTTTGTGCAATCTTCTCGTTTATACAATAATTCTGTTTGTTATTCTTTGTGCAATCTTTTTTGTGCAATAATTCTGCTTTGTGCAATCTTCCCAGGCAAGTGAGTGTGCAAGCAGAAGAGGTGTCTGCAGAGCCAGCGGTAAGAGGGGCTGCGTGAGACTCCAAGGAGAGTGTGATAACGACCAAGTCTGCTGCCAAAAGAGTGAGTCTACTGTGCACACTTAATGAAGTATGTGCATTCTATATATTAGAAACCGAAGGTATTTAAGGCTACATGATAATGAGAGAGGGAGGGAGGGAGGGAGGGAGGGAGGGAGGGAGGGAGAGAGGGAGAGAGAGAGAGAGAGAGAGAGAGAGAGAGAGAGAGAGAGAGAGAGAGAGAGAGAGAGAGAAGAGAGAGAAGGGGGAGGGGGATTATTTAATTGATTTAATTAAAAATAAAGTTTATTGTAGAACAATGACTAGGTGTACCTGACCACATCTATTTACCCGTTCCACGAACTTTCTAATTTTTCATCACTATATTAGTTGAGAACGTTATTGTAACAACAACAATGATAATGATGATAATAATGATGATAATAGTAATAACAATAATATTCATGATTATAATGATGATAACAAACAGGAACAACGTTATAAATGTACTAATAGTAGTTCAAGGTATGGTCTAAATAGTAATTCAAGTAATAGTAATAGTCTAAATAGTAGTTCAAGGTATGGTCTAAATAGTAATTCAAGTAATAGTAATAGTCTAAGTAGTAGTTCAAGGTATGGTCGTTTCAAGTAATAGTAATAGTAAGTTAGTTCAAGGTATGGTCTAAATAGTATTCAAGTAATAGTAATAGTCTAAGTAGTGTTCAAGGTATGTCTAAATAGTAATTCAAGTAATAGTAATAGTCTAAGTAGTAGTTCAAGGTATGGTCTAAATAGTAGTAGTTAGTCTAAGTAGTGTTCAAGGTATGGTCTAAATAGTAATTCAAGTAATAGTAATAGTCTAAGTAGTAGTTCAAGGTATGGTCTAAATAGTAATTCAAGTAATAGTAATAGTCTAAGTAGTAGTTCAAGGTATGGTCTAAATATAATTCAAGTAATAGTAATAGTCTAAGTAGTAGTTCAAGGTAATGGTCTAAATAGTAATTCAAGTAATAGTAATAGTCTAAGTAGTAGTTCAAGTATGAAATAGTAATTCAAGTAATAGTAATGTCTAAGAGTAGTTCAAGGTATGGTCTAAATAGTAATTCAAGTAATAGTAATAGTCTAATAGTAGTAAGTAATGTCTAAATAGTAATTCAAGTAATAGTAATAGTCTAAGTAGTAGTTCAAGGTATGGTCTAAATAGTAATTCAAGTAATAGTAATGGTCTAAATAGTAGTTCAAGGTATGGTCTAAATAGTAATTCAAGTAATAGTAATAGTCTAACTAGTAGTTCAAGGTATGGTCTAAATAGTAATTCAAGTAATAGTAATAGTCTAAATAGTAAGTCAAGTATGGTTCTAAATAGATAAGAATAGGCCTATGTAAAACAAAAAAAAAATCCGGTTTCTCACCAACGCTGGAAATCGCCGCCACAGCAATTGTTTTTTTCATCCAATTTCCGAATTCGAACGAAGATGATTCTCGATTCGCTAAATGTCGCAACGGCAAAATCCAAATCCAAACAACAGCAAATCTCAAATCCAAACAACTCCAAAATCCAATCCAAACAACAGCAAAATCCAAATCCAACAACAGCAAAATCCAAGCAAATCCAAACAACAGCAAAATCCAAATCCAAACAACAGCAAAATCGAAATCCAAACAACAGCAAAATCCAAATCCAAACAACAGCAAAATCCAAATCCAACAACAGCAAAAAAATCCAACAACAGCAAAATCCAATCAAACAACAGCCAAATTCCAAATCCAAACAACAAAGCAAAATCAATCCAAACAACAGAAAAATCAAATCCAAACACAGCAAAATCCAGATCCAAACAACAGCAAAATCCAAATCCAAATCCAAAATCAGCAAAATCCAAAATCCAAACAACAAGCAAAATCCAAATCCAAACAACAGCAAAATCCAAATCCAAAAACAGCAATCCAAATCCAAACAAACAGCAAAATCCAAATCCAAACAACAACAGAAAATCCAAATCCAAATCACAACAAAATCCAATCCAAACAACAGCAAATCAGATCAAACAACAGCAAAATCCAAATCCAAACAACAGCAAAATCCAAATCCAAACAACAGCAAAATCCAAATCCAATCAACAGCAAAATCCAAATCCAAACAACCAAAATCAAAACCAAATCAAACGGAAATCAAATCCAAACAACAGAAAATCCAAATCCAAACAACAGGCAAAATCCCAAACATCCCAAACAACAGCAAAATCCAAATCCAAACAACAGCAAAATCCAAATCCACACAGCAAAAAAAATCAAAATCCAAACAACAGCAAAATCCAAATCCAAACAACAGCAAAATCCAATCCAAACAACAGCAAAATCCAAATCCAAACAACAGAAATCCAAATCCAAAACAACAGCAAAATCCAATCCAAACAACAAGCAAAAATCCAANGAAAATGCCAAATCCAAACACAGCAAATCCAGATCCAACACAGCAAAATCTAAATCCAAACAACAGCAAAATTCAATCCAACAACAGCAAAATCGAAATCCAAACATCAAGCAAATCAAATCCAAACAGAAACAATCAAAATCAAACAAAGCATAAATCCAAATCCAAACAACAGCAATCATCAAACAACAAGCGAAAAATCAAATTCAAACAACAGCAAAATCCAATGTCAAACACCAGCAAAACTCAAATAACACGCAAAGTCGAAATCAAACAAGAGAAATCAATATCCAACAAAGAAAACAGATGCCAAAAGAAACAAAATCCAACAACGCAAAAATCCAAGATCCATAACAACAGCGAAATCAAATCACAAACACAGAGAAATGAAATCGCAAACAACAGAAATAAAATCAACACAGGAAAATCATAACAACAGCAAAGTCAGATCCAAACAGCAAATCAAATACCAAACAAGCAAAACCAAATCCAAAACGAAAATCAAATCAAAAAGGACAAATCAATCCAAACAACGAAAATCAGATCCATAACAGACAGAAATTCCAAATCTGCACAACAGAAATCAAATCCAAAAGCGCAAAATCCAATCAAACACAGAAAAATCAGATCCAAACACAGGAAAATCCAAATCCAAACACAGCAAAATAGATCAAAAACAGCAAAATCCAAATCCAAACAAGCAAGCAAAATCCAAGTCCAAACAACAGCAAATCCAATCCAAACAACAGCAAAATCGAAATCCAAACAACAGGAAATCCAAATCCAAAACAGAAAATCCATCCAACACCAAACCAGATCATAACAACAGCAAAATCAAATCCAAACAACAGCAAAATCCAAATCCAAACAACAGCAAAATCCAAATCCAAACAACAGCAAAATC